TGCGGGGGGCTTGGAACGTCCCCGGCCGGCCCGACACCAGGTCGGCTGCCGTGCCGTCGACGATGGACATGTCGGTGACCGTCTTCTCCCTCAGAGACTTCTCATCGTCTTCATCGATGAGAACTACCTCGGCCTTGACGGCCCCGTCAAACCCCAGCAGCCGCCTGCTCTCGCTCGTGTCCTCAACGTCCTGGTAGCCAAGGAAGACCATGGTGATTGGTTGCTCAGCACTGGCCTGAGGAAGGCTGGAGGACTTACTGTCTGGTTGGACTGAGGAGGTGGGCTGGCTCGTCACAGGACCACCAGGGGGCATCATTCCCAACTGGGCTTCCCTCTGGAGGGTGACCTGAGCTGGAGGACTGGATGGGATGGATGGTGGAGCGCAGGAAGGTGGCGATAGATCGTCAACGTCTACCGGAGAAACGTAGACTGCAGCTGGAGTCACGGCAGCGTGAGACTTCTGTTCCTCTGCTCCTCCTCCTCCTCCTCCTCCTCCTCCTCCTCCTCCTCCTCTACGTGAACCTGGTCTGGCGGCTCGTTGGACCAGGTCGTCCACCTGCGAGGAGCTCCAGCCGTTCTCCACCATCGCGACTGGGAGAACTCCGGAGGACTTGACCTCGTAGACCACCTTCCTGCCGTCGTCGTAGACTTTGACGCCTCGCGACGCTGCCTCCAGTGGACTCACGGGGTTGGCTGACAGGATGCGCTGCTCACCAGTGTGGGGGTCGTGCTGCACGTTGATCTCCATGGCAAACAGTGCTGTTAGGAGAGGAGGGGGTTTAGAGACGAGAGGGGGAGGATTTATTAGAGGGAAAGGTGAGGAAGTGGAAACAGAACTCACACGTTAGTTTTGGATCCGTGTTAGCAGCAAAAACGCACACAGAAAATATTATTGATAAAATAGCTGAGGTAAAAAAAACAAAAGGAAAACAGACATTTATTTCTTGTCTGACCTGAAGTCATGCTCTTATTTTGGTAATCTTCTTGGTTTAGCTCTTTTAGGTTAAACTTTAGCTTCTCTGAGTCCTCAACATTGAACCTGACCCCCCCCCCTTACACCCCCCCACCCATTCCAACACTGCAGTGTTATCCTGTAAAACCTATGAGAAGGTGAGTGTAAATGCGTGCGTTCTTCCTCTAACTGGATCACAGCGTCCCCCTCCACAGCTGAGCTCTGGATTCTGCAGAGCTTTGAATTCTTCCTGCTGCCGAGTCAGCAGCACGGAGCACAAAGAGACTCCGATTTACTGTACGGATTTACTCTGACGCAGACTGGACCTGGGACTGAAGACTGAAGACTGAGACCAGGACTGCAGTAAGACTCAGCTCTGACCAGGACATAATACACAGACGTCACAAGTCCTGTCAGTCATGTAGTACAGTGTTGTACACATGGTATCACAGACGTTATACTGTCACTACTGCGGATACTTAGCAGTAATATCTGGTTAGCAAATACTAATCAACCATGAACAAATATCACCATGTCTCCTGTGTTGTTATTACTATTATTACTATTGGCGGAGGAAATGGCTTGTTATTAGGCTGTTACAAACTGGATTTTATTGGAAATTATTATTATTATTTGTATTATTATTACTATTATTATTATTATACATTATTATCATCCATCATTATTTGATTATTTACTTTTCAGGGTCGCTAAAAAGGAGCTGTCGTTATCGCTGCTAATTTACTGCTAATTTACTGCTAATTTGACTTTGTGTACTTTTGTTGCTATTTTAATATTTATATTTCTATTTGTATTGTTTTTACTGCATCAGTATTTGTAGTACACATGTCAACAACAGCTGTACAGTACGTCTGTTAACTAGAGTCAGTTCTTAATCACTGACCGGAGCGTTTCCTGCTACTTCACGTGTGTTTGCTCTCCGTTGTTCTGCTATAGCTAACGTAGCTACTTTAGCTGTTTCTGCTACATGAGCTCGGGCTGAACCTCTGGACTTTGGTTCTTTATGAATCTTTTTATTAATTTTTTTAATTATTCATCTTTTTTATTTTGATCTTTGTTTTTCCATCGTTCACACCCTAACGTGGCTAACGTGTTGATCTCTAAGACCCCCCCCC